GCCCCATGTCTAGCACCTCAGCAGACTGTTTCATCATCGAGAGGCCATGGCTGTTCTTTCTCCAGTGAGGTCTTAATCTCAGTCATGGGGTTGGGGGTCTTTTCCAGATTTGTTCCTTTTTTGAATGCCTTGTCTCAGCTTTATATGTCTTCCTCTTACCTACTCTTCCTATATGTTTTTAGAGTTCTCTTTATTCTTTCACAGTTAATTTCTTTTTTTTTTTTTCATTTTTTTTTTTTTTTTTTTTTTTTTTCTCGCTTTGTTGCCCAGGCTAGAGTGAGTGCCGTGGCGACAGCCTAGCTCACAGCAACCTCAAACTCCTGGGCTCGAGTGATCCTTCTGCCTCAGCCTCCCGGGTAGCTGGGACTACAGGCATGCGCCACCATGCCCGGCTAATTTTTTATATATATATCAGTTGGCCAATTAATTTCTTTCTATTTATAGTAGGGACGGGGTCTCGCTCTTGCTCAGGCTGGTTTTGAACTCCTGACCTTGAGCAATCCGCCCGCCTCGGCCTCCCAAGAGCTAGGATTACAGGCGTGAGCCACAGCGCCCGGCCCACAGTTAATTTCTTGTTAATAATTCTTTATGTTGAACTCTTCCTGGTCAAACTTATTAGGCACTTGTTATACAGATTCATATACACAAACATATGCACATACGCAGATAGACTGCCTGCTAATTTACATCCAAACATATAAAAAAAGAGTAATACTAGGAATTGTGATTTGCCATTCTTTTTGGTAGCAATTTAAGAAAAATATTCTGTATCAGATGCTAGTACAAAACAGAAAATGAAAATGGCTTTGGATTTCCATAAATATTTTTGATGCTGATATACATGTCTTTGACATCTTTCAGTGTTAGCTGTAATCAAGATTGCATAGTTAATTAAATGAAACTATTAACACCTTCAGAGATGTTTAAGCAGTACTCTAACTTATAAATGGAACAACTTAATTGCTTTTCATTTCTTTAGTCATGACACACAGTAATTATAGGAAATTGACATAATGAGTAATACATATAGATATACACACATTCTCTCATACGTGTATTATCAGGGTGGTACCAAACTGTATAATCCTTATTTCTGTTGACACCAGCAAAGATTTTTGGCTCCCTGTGATCAGCAGGCGTTTCCCTTCCCTCTGACCAATTCCCTCCTCAGCATTGCTGCCTGCCTGGTCTCAAAAGTCTCCCAGAGTTTCAGGTGGATTCATTCATCATGACTAATGCTAATGCCTTTGTACCCAGAGTTGGATATGAGTGTTTTGCCTCAGGTGTCTCACGCCTATCCTGGACAACTCCTCTTTTGGGTCTCAACCAAGCTGCCTTGTTCTTCCTCATCAAGGAAACTGGAAAAAGTTCCACACAGATGGATTTAAATGACAATACTTAATGCTTTTATCACAGTTAGTCCTTACTAACCCTAACTCTATTCTTTGGGTGCTTTTTACCTTTGAGTGAATCCTGCCCCTCTGCCCCTCTTTGCCATCATCTTAGTGGGGATTTCTACTCTTAGGAGATCCCATCTTTAAGTAACAGTATATGGTATTCATAAACTGTCAGATATGATCTGTACCAGAACTTCTTACCTGGTGGATCATGACCCAGTGGTGTGGCCTGAAGAGGTAGCAGTTATGCTGACATACTGATCCATTTCAACCCTTCAGATAACTTGGCAGGATTCTGGTTGCATCTGGGTACAAAAAGCTTTGTCTCTAATTCTATATAAAAAGTTAGTGCTGGATTCTTTAGAAGGCTTATACTTTCTGTCATTTCAAGTAGCATCCCTGGGATACAGATAGATATGAATAATGTAGATAAAGATTTAGCAATCTAAGAAAATAATTGGCAGACACGAATGAATTTTAACATATTTGCAAAGCAATCTCATGAGCATGTAACTCAGGATAGCATGTGGCAGAATCAATCACCTGCAGACCGTTTTCTAATCTCTGCCATCTTAATGGAATACCAAATTTTCTTATAGGTATCCCTGAGATATGAGTGTAAATGGAGATAAATGATATATTTGAATTTTTTCCAGGTATCAAATACGGGCTATTGCATTCTAAAAATTATCAAGCATACTATTGATTTTTGTTTGGTCTTCAAGTGCTTTACTAGTCTTTCCAATATGTTGCTCTCAATGTATACTATATTTTAACACAAATAAAATTGAAATATTCTTATTTTATAGGTTAAATGAAATACTTCAAGATAGTAAACTGAAGGATAATTTTTTTGTAGGTCATGGTTTTTTATGATATTTAAATATTTTATATTTCAATGAAAAATTGGAGTTTATACTGCTTAAGCAATGTACAGTTGTCAGAGAAAGTTTTGAGTTGTTGCCTTTATCAGTTCAGATGCTTTGAACTTCAAGTGATAATAGGGTTGTTAACTAAAGTGGCATAAACACTAGGAATATATTATTTTATTATTACATTCCAGAGTTAAATGGTACCATAGCTATAAAAGAACCCAGTGTTTTCCCTATTTTTCCCCTATATTGCCTAGGATTGTGGGCTTTCTGGTCCACACATGGGGAAAAAAAAAGGCAAATTTCTTAACCATTTCCCAAAGATCTGATTCAGTAGCTGAAGATCTAGGTGTTAGGTGTGCATATAAGTGTTGAGGAAGCACTGTGAATATTTCTGATGTGGATAAGCCTTAGATACTTTTTGGGTTTTTTTGAGACAGAATCTCACTCTGTTTCCCTAGGTAGAGTACAGTGGTGCCACTGTAGCTCACAGCAACCTCAAACTCCTGGGCTCAAGGGATCCTCCTGCCTCAGCCTTCCGAGTAGCTGGGACCACAGCCACACATCACAACACCCAGCTAATATTCCTATTTTTAGTAGAGACAGGATCCCACTCTTGCTCAGGCTGGTCTCAGACTCCTGAGTTCAATCTGTCCTCCGGCCTTGGCCTCCCAGAGTGATAGGATTATAGGCGTGAGCCACTGTGCCCAGCCCTTAGATACATTTTTTAGAAACATACTCATAGCAGACTAATTTTAGGAGAGGCAGAATGAACTATTTACCTAAAACTTCACTTTAGTAGGAGGAAATTATATTTTAATATATATATATATATATATATATATGTTAGAGATTTAAGAAGTTTTTAATTTTGAAAGCATCAAGATAAACAGTTTTGAGAGATTATATTACAAAATTAATTGAAATATTTTTCTTCCAATTCTTATCTAGCAAAATAAAAATTGAAATATTTAGCAGTTCAGGAAAGGAGAGGCATGTAGGGAATGAGAGGCAAGTTCATTAGAGAACAGAAATTGTGAGTGTTTCTATTTTGGCTGTCTGCATTGGCTTCCATCATCACACTTCTCTTTTAGACCTTGTCCTGTGTTAGGATCTTTCTTAGGGCCAGCCTTGTCCTGTAAGTATATGACTTCATCTTTATAGACTTAAAAGTCCAAATTATCAGTATTAAAGTCATTTAAAGGAATCCTGCAAATTTCTTAATTTGGTCAGAATGGTTCAAGCTGCTATATGTATAAAGGAGGCTGTGTGTGTGCATATGTGTGCCTGTGCATATGTGTGTATGGTATGATGTGTTTTAAAAGCAAATATTTTTATCTTTAGTTGTTCCATACGCTCAGAATATTTTTAGGTCTTCTGTGTTACTAGTTTAAAATGGATTTGTTAACTAAAAAGAAGATTGACATGGAGGTCAAAGGAAATAGCATTTATTTGGGAAACAAAAAATTTCAACTTGTGTACCCTGAATCAAGGCAGCCATGAATAGTGTCCTATAGGACAAATGCAGGAGAGGTTTTTTGTTTGTTTATTTTTAAATAAGGGATTTCTATGAAAAGTTTTTTTTTTTTTTTTTTTTTTTTTTTTTTTTTTTTTTTTTTTTTGGAGGCAGTTCATTGGCTGGGCAGAAATCCTAAATCGAAAACCCATTCTGATAGGTTAGTTCATTAGGGAACTACCTGCTGAGAAATGTTGAAGGCTGTTGGATACTGACATCATTTATTTATCCAAGTCTATTGGAACATTCTGTGGTTTGAACTTTAGCAGGTCTGAGTGCAATCCCTTTGCAGTCTCCTGATTCTATTTTAGAAAGCTTTATCCTTAGTTACTTCATTTTCTTTCATTTGGTTATAGATACCTACCAATTCCTTGCTCCTCAAAGTGTGATCTGTGGCCAGCAGCCATGCCATGACAGAGGAACTTATTAGAAATGCAGAATCTCAGGCCTCATCCAGAACTGCTCAATCAGAATCTGTATTGTAGCAAACCTCCAAGGGATTCATGTGCTTATTAAAGCTTGAGAAGCTCAACAAACATAGTATGTTTCAACACATCAGCAGTTGCTTTGAATATAGGAGACAATTTTTAAAAGGGTTCCTAAGATATGATCCTTAGTGGTATGCAGCTAGGTCTGGAGGAAGATTTAGATATATGTATTCCTGAGTCATATGTCGTATTGCTAGGGGGAAAAAGTGGAGATTCTGTTGAATAATGGAATGAAGCTTTAGTTTTCTGCGATGGTCTGAAGATGGATCCTTTTCTCAGAAGTTTCCAAATAGTTTGCCTTTAATATTATATAAGTCTGTTAAAGATCAGTATAAATTAGAAACTGCTTATCTAAAAATTAATTTTACATAGCAAATAAAGTATAATATTTTATTTCTTGTTTAATGTAAGATATGTCCATGAAGTTTTATAACATAAAATACACACTGTAACCTGGGCAACAAAGCAAGACCCCATCTCTACAAAAAATTTTTTAAAAAATTAGCCAAGTGTGGTGGCACATGCCTATAGTGCTAGCTACTCAGGAGGCTGAGCTGAGGCAGCAGGATTGCTTGAGCCCAGGATTCGAGTCTGCAGTGAGCTACTGTACTCTAACCTTGTAATCCTATCTTTAAAACACACACACAGAGACACATACACACACATTGTATACTGTATTAAAAATTAATGCAGAGCCACCGGCGGGCTGGCGGGCGGGCGGCGCGGCGGCTCTGCGTGCGGCGGAGGACGAGGCGGCAGCCCAGGCGCGCGCCGCGGCGGCACGACAAAGGTACTAAGTGCTGGGACGTGTGGTGAACAAAACAGATGAGACCTTGACTCTCACAGAACTTACAATCCAACAGAGCAGGTGTTTGGTGGAGACGACTTTCCCAGATCACTACTACCTGGAAGTGATTGACATATTCTGGTGCAAACCTTCAAGGAGGAAGCAGGCAAGACAACATGAGCCAGCAACTGAAGAAAAGGGCAAAGACGAGTGGCCGGAAAGGCGTGGGTAAAAAAGCCCCCGGTAGGGCCAAACCAAGGCAACCCAAGCCCAGCCAAGCCCAGCAGGCAGAAGTGGAACCTCTGGGCACAACATGGGCCTTGCAGGATGGCAACGTGTGCTCTGAGACTAGCCCTCCAGCTCTCGAAGAGGATGTCTTCCCCGACTGCTACATAGAATGCATAATAAGAGGTGAGTTCTGTGAACCCATCCTGGAAGAGGACACACTTTTTAAGTCCTTAGAATACCTAAAGGAAGGACCAGACCAAGAGCCTCCTCAACAGGTTCTCGAAGCAAGCTCCTTTCTGCAGTGTTCCTTAGAGTACACGAAACCGGGGGCCACACAAGAGCTTCCCCGAGGCATTGATGAAGAGAATTCACTTGAGTATTCCGAGTACATGACAGGCAAGAAGCTTCCTCCTGAAGGAATACCTGGCATTGACTTATCAGATCCTAAACAGCTCGCGGAATTTGTTAGAAAGAAGCCCAGAAAAAATAAAGATTATCTACAGACCATCCCCTGTCCTCAGAGTGGCTGCCCACGGAAGCTGAGGAACGCAGCCGCCCTGAAAAAGCACCTGCTGGTGCATGCGCCCCGAGACCACGTGTGCGCGGAGTGCGGGAAGGCCTTCGCTGAGAGCTCCAAACTGAAGAGGCATTTCCTGGTCCATACCGGAGAGAAGCCGTACCAGTGCACTTTCGAAGGCTGCGGAAAGCGCTTTTCCCTGGACTTCAATTTGCGTACGCACGTGCGCATCCACACCGGGGAGAGGCGTTTTGTGTGTCCCTGTGACGGCTGCATCCGGAGGTTCGTTCAGTCAAATAACCTGAAAGCCCACATCTTAACGCACGCGAAGGCGCAAAAGTACCTGTGAAGGCGAAGGCGGGAAAGAGTCCTCCAACAGGATGAGCCTATTAACAGAAGAGTCGTCAGCAACAAATATACCTCATTGATTATTGTTTTTCAATCATTATTACAGCCCTAAAAGGCATATTCTTTAGTGTTAATAAGGTGCTCCTAATACTTTGGGATACCATTTTTGAAACATCTTGTATTCTGTGGTGTGCTTCCAACAGGAAGGTTGGTGATAAGTTTATTTCAAAAGCATAATCTTTAATATATTATGTATTGGATTATTAGATATGAGGCTTATTTTCACATACTATAAATGTGAAAATAACTTTGATTTTTAGTTTTCTAGCTTTTGCCTTTTAAATATATACTTCATGGTGCATGTGATAATCCTAGAGATGTCCAACCCTGAAGAATGAAAATTTTGTAGTAGTCAGTAAATAAGTGAGTAGTTTTAAACATTTTTAAAGTTAAATGTACCTTTTTTGATTTTTATTTTCCTGTTGTATCAAACAATACATTTTGAAATCATAGTTAAATGTGTGTGATTGATAACGTTAATCCATTTGAATCCATTTTAGATATTTAGATAAAAAAGTACATAAATTTAGATTTAATTAGACTTAAATTAAATTTAGATATAAAAGTACATAAATCTCCAGTAATGTGCTAAATCTGGATTAAAAAAGAATCAAAGAAATGTGAGTTACATTGTGAGTTATAGGGAGGAAGTTGCCCATATATGTGGTTTGTTAAGGTATAAATTGTCGATGCAGTTTTGGAAGATATTTGCAAGTGGGCTGCATTAGTGTTCTAGGGCTGCCACAGCAGTGCCACAAACAGGGTGGCTTAAGCAATAGAGATTTATTGTCTCACAGTTCTGGAGGTAAGAAGTCCAAAATCAAGGTGTGGGCAGGCTTGGTTCCTTCTGAAGCTGTCAGGGGAGGATCTGATTCAGGCCTCTCTTCTCAGCCTGCAGGTGACTGTCTTCATGTTCTCACGGCCCCTCCTCTGTATCCTCACGTCTCTTCCTTCCCTCAGTACCTGTCTGGGTCCAAATTTCCTCTTATGAGGACATCAGTCCTATTGGATAGGGACTCATCTTAATGACCTCATTTTAACTTGCTTACCTCTGTAAAGACCCCATCTCCAAATAAGGTCACATTCTGAGGTACTGGGAGCTTAGATTTTAATGAATGAATTTGGCAGGGGGAAGGGAATACTGCCTAACCCATAATATGTGCATTATTTTGAACCTAATAATTTCATTTCTAGAATTCCATTCTGCATAAATATTGGCACTAACGTGAGAAGGCATTTGTTAAAGGATATTAACTGAATCATATTTTTCATAGTAACAAATTTATAATTTCAATGTCCAGTAAGAGGAAACAGGTTCTATAAGTCATGCTATCTCTATTCAGTAAAAAATATACAACTATCTGTAAAGAAGAGGGCACCAGCCAGAAGGAAGCAACAAAATGAGTTTGTTTTTAATAGATGGAACAGAATCTGGTATATTTATTTACTTGCTGTGGAAGAAAATTCAGAGAAAGTGGTTAAATATGGATAACGTGAGAAATTAGTTGTCCAAAGGTGGCTAGTAAAGTTAAAATCTAACTCTGATGTAGGAGTTAACTTATTTTTATGATTATAAAGTGAATCATTGATTGGAATCACATTATAATGGGTGGACATATGTAGCCATCAAACTTGGAATGCATTTTTCTCCCAGAATAAGTAAGATAAGTGATCAGGTGTAACTAAAAAAACACATTTCCTTGATTTTAAGATTTAAGACACCACTGGAAGTAATACTAATAAATACCATAAATTTAAGTTTTTCAGAAAAATAAAAACACTAAATGAATGAATCAACTTTAAGATTAATCTTGATGTTAGAAATGCCAAAATCTAAAACAAATCTGGTCTTTAGTGGTTCCATACAAATGGATAGAATTGGTTTTTTTCTATTTCTGTGAAAAACTGCTGTTGGAATTTTGACTGTGATTGCATTGAATCCGTAGATTGTTTTGCATAGTATGGGCATCTTAATATTAATTCTTCCAGTCCATGAACACAAGATATATTTCCATTTATTTTTGTCATCTTCAATTTCTTTCAACAATGTTTATAGTTTTTAGTGTATGAAATGTAGGAAGTATCTTTCACTTCCTTCATTAAATTTATTCCTAAGTAATTTACTCTTTTGGATTCTATTATAAATGGGATTGTTTTCTTGGTATTTTTTTCAGATAGTCATTGATGTTAAAGAAGTACAAATGATTAAAAACTGAAAATTATAAAGTAGAGGCCATCACTATGTATCACTAGTACATAGGCCCTACTTAGTAAGCAATTAGTTAGTAAATTATGGAATGAATAAATATGTTAAAATATAGCTTAATATGTTTTTTAACAACCACCTGTAATAAAGTCTATCAAAATTTAATTATATGTAATTCCAAAATGGCTAACGAAAAAGGCATTATTAGTGTTTGTATAAAATCTGATTACTCTGAAATAAAAGTGAACAACTTTAAAAAAAAAAATTAATGCAGATGAAAGCTGAGGCAGGATAGAAAGAAACTGAACAGCAGACCAAAGATAGCTAAAATTACAGGATATAAAAATATCACTACAAATTATTACAGGAAGATATTTTGTTCAATAAATGATATTGAGCCACCTGGCTAAACATTTATGAAAAACTATATTTTATAAATCCATATTATATCTAAGATAATTTCTAGGTCAACATTTATAAACTCTGTTTTTGTGATTGGCCACAAGAAACCTTTATTAAAGGTTCATCCTAATTCATCCTGTCTCCCTGAATTTTAATAACACAGATATCCTCTATATCCATTTATGTACTATGGCTTTTCAGAACTTCATGAATGCTTTTAATATCTAACATTTTTGTACCTTCCCCACAACAATTTTACCCCACTGGGGGTGCTATAGTCCCCAATGGGAATGCATGTTCAAGAATCTAGAAGTAAAGCTTTAAATGTAACAAAATCATTGTTATAGTTTTATTGATGGTGTCCTTTCTAAAATTCATATTGAAACATAATCCTTGTTGTGGTGATATTAACAGGTGGGGCCTTTTGGGAAGGGATTAGTGAATAGATTAGTGCTTTATAAAATGGCTGGGGGAACTAGTTTAGGCCCTTTGACTTCCACCTGCCACCATCTGAGGATACCCAGACAGTGCCATCTATGAGGAATGGGTTCTCATCGTATACTGACCTGGCTGGCACATTGAACTTGGACTTCTTGATCTTTAGAAATGTGCAAAATAAATGTATGGTCTTTATAAATTATCCATTCTCAGGTATTTTGTTATAGTAGCACCAAGGGACTAAGATTGTAATGAAAGAATGGGATAAGAATTTAAGTGAATTTTTTATAATCTTAGGATAATTAAATCACTTCTAAGGAAATGATAAAGAAAATGTTAAAAGAGATACTGATATATTAAACTACATATTTTAAAAATCTATTGAACTACAGAAATCATTATAAACAAACATTTAAAATTGTGTCTCTGTCCATCCTGACTAATAGATACCAGAAAGTTAACAGTGGTTATTTCTTATTGAGGATATGCATTTAAAAATTTTCATCCATGTGTTTTCTACCATGAGAATTAATGCAGGTTGAACATTCCAGATCCAAATATCTGAAATCCAAAGTACTGCTATATCTGAAACTTTTTGAGTGCTGACATGATGGTCAAAGGAAATAGTTCTTGGAGCATTTCAGATTTTGAATTTGGGGATTTGTGATGCTCAACTGGTCCAAAATACAGAATACTTCTGTTCCCAGGCATTTTGGATAAGGATAACCTATATCATAATCAGAAAACATTTAATATTTATAGCTTTTTAAATGAAATACCTATGATTATTTTATTTAATGCAACTTACCTATCTCACAAGGATCTTGTTGCAATTTCCAATAGATATTTGAAAATATATAATGTGTTTTAGAACAATTACTCAAGCTCCTGTAGTTAGTAAATATTAGAGGTCGAATTTGAACTTGAGGATGTCTGATGTTAAAGTGTTTAAAATTCCTATAATGTATGACTTTTCTCTTTGCTACTTTTTAAAACTTAGAGCCATAATCTGTGATTTCCAAACCGATTAACTACAATTTTGAAATAGTTTTGCTTTCATTTTGGATGTGGTTTGATCAGTCGAAAGGGATATGTGCACTTAATGAGCTTGGGATTCAGAATTCTGGGAGAGTCAAGTTTCTTAGTCAAATTAAGCCTTAATTAGAAAAATATATAACTCTTTAATTAGTTTCTATTATGTAATACATAAAGTCAATAACCTATTTTTAAAAACCACACAGCTCACCTCAGTAGTTACTTTTGTTTTTCTAATTGATTCCTCCATATTGGATCTCCCTGTGTGTCTATACTTGAGTCTGAAAACAATGTCTCAAATTCTCATTGTACTTAGCTTTATTTTTAAACCTTCTGTTCTTTGCTTCACAAGCAAATATTTTATAAAATGTATGTGATCCTTCTTGGACATTAAGTCAGGGTTTATTTTATGAACACATCCAGAGTTAATGTCACCTTCTAATTAAAAGTTAGTATGCAGTATTAATATAAATAATATCTTTCTCCTGTACTCGGAGAGAAACCTCTTTGATTTTAACTTTGTTAATTCTTTAAATTTTCTCAAATAGACGAACATTTTTTAAAGTCTTTTCTGTTTTGTCCCCTTCTAAGAAATGGGGAAAAAGAAGGGAAATGATCATTAACAGAGAATATACTGCATTCTTTTACTTTTCCTATTTTCAATTTTTTATCTTGCCAAGTAAGGATGTCTCAAACCAACAAAAAGTAACAATGAAAATTTTATATGTAAAAATATATTTTTATACTATAAAGTAGAATATGAATAAAATAATCTTGGGTTAAAGGACAATCCTTCCCAAGAAAAAACAGTTTGTAAATTTATACCAATAGAAGAGGAAATTTTACTTCCCTTGTGCAGCAAGCACAAGGTATAAATATTCAATCTGTTCTAGTTCTTGTGGTATGCTTGTTTCCTTCTCCATTTGTCAGTCTGGGGCTTACACTCACTCCCACTTATTTGTTTTTATTATGATTGTTGCCCCAAATCCATAGTCACAAAGGTTATATTGGTGAAAAATAAAGCAACTTTCAATACAACTTCACTCAATTTAGAACATCCTGGCAGTACTGAGAGACTTGAGTAACAATGACCCTTGTTACTGCTTTGATTCTTCCTTGATTTCCCTGACATTCTGGTTAGAAAGTGGGTGCTGGCAAGTCATATTGCCTATAATGAGCTGGGCCAAATTTTACACAATTCAGGTCCACGGAAGTAAAACTTGATTTCTCATTTCCAAGGCAGAGCTGTCAAGAATTCATTTGAGAATGATAAAGTAGACTCACAGACAGGCTCCTGTTTGTTGGCCCATAAGTGGCGCAAGCACATTTGTCTGGGTGATCTTTAAT